GGGGGGGGGGTTCAGAGGTCCTGGGGGGGCTGTATAGGGCATGTGTAGGGCTTCTATAGGGGCTGCCCAGGGCTCTGTAGGGGGTCTACAGCAGCCACAGAGGGCTGTATAGGGGTGCATAGGAATCTAAAGGGGCTGTATGGGGGCGTAGAGGGAGTCTATAGGGCCCATACAGGGGTATATGTGAGCATATAGGTGACCTGTAAGTGCTGTGGAGGTTTGTACGGGGCTGTACACGCACCTAAAGGAGCCATACAGGGTGGTTTGGAGCTGTATAAGGCCTGCAGAGGGCTGTATAGGCACGTGCAGATGTCTGTAAGGCCTGCACAGGCCTATATAGGTATGTATAAGGTGGCTATAGTGCCCCAGAGAGCTGCATGGAGGTATATAAGGGCTGTACAGGGGTGTATAGGGGCTGTATGGGGGTCCACAGGAGCTGTATGGGGCTGTGTAGGGGCTTATGGGTGTCCAGAGGGGCTGTAGGGGGCTGTATGGGGTGATATAGGGGGACTGTGTAGGGTCCACAGGAGCTGTACAGGGTTCCATAGAGGTGGGGGGGGGGCTGTATAGGGCTGCATGAGGCTGCCTAGTGGTGTGTAGGGGATGCATGGGGCTGTATAGCAGTCCGTGGGAGCTGTATGGGGCTGGATGGGGTGGCATAGGGGCATGCAGGTGGTCTATAGGGACTGTGTGGGGCTGCAGAGGGGTGTTTAGGCACTGCACAGGGCTGTATAGAGCTGTATGGGGTGCTTTAGGGGTCTGTAGGTGTCTACAGGGGGTCCATAGGGGCTGTATAGGGCTGGTCCCAGGGGGCTCTGTGGGGCTGTATGGGGTGCTTTAGGGGGCTATAGGTACCTACAGGGGGTCCATAGGGCCTGTATAGGGCAGTATGGGGTAGTATAGAGCTGTATGCGGGTCCCAGGAGGCTCTATAGGGCTGTATGGGGTGGTATGGGCTCATATAGGGGGTCTGTAGGGACTGCGTGGGGCTGCAGAGGGGCATATAGGCACTGCAGAGGGGCATATAGGCACTGCAGAGGGTATGTATGGGGTGCTTTAGGGGTCTGTAGGTGCCTACAGGGGGTCCGTAGGGGCTGTACGGGGCTCCCGGGGGCTCTATGGGGCTGTATGGGGCGGTGGAGGGGGTCTCCGGGGGGGTCCCTCGGGGCAGCGCAGGGCTCTAGGGGGGCCTATGGCGGCCTATAGGGGTCCCTCGGGGCGGGGCGGAGCTCCTACGGAAGCTGAGGAGGCCCCGCCCCGCCGGTGACGCGAACGGGCGTGGCCCGCTCTCCCGTCTCGGCCAGCGGTCGCCGCGTCCGCGGCCTGGTGCGGGGGGCGCGCGGGGCCGCCGGGGCTCACGGGGTCCGAGGTCACGTGAGCGGGGGTCAGGGGTCACGGGGCGGAAGGTGACAGGGGCCGGGCAGCTAGGACAGGGACCGGACTGACCTCTGACCTCTGACTTGTCTGTCCTTGGCCCCACTGGGGTCCTGGGGCGGGGGGGGGCACCGGGAGTGACGTCACTGCCCCTGCCCTCGGCTGGGAGTGACATCACCGCTGACAGTGACATCACTGCTGGCTTCCAGTGTGGCAGCACCGAGCCTCCCTGACAGGGCGCGGCATCACCGTTGGGGTTGCTGATGACGTGTGACATCGCACGGCAGCAGCAACCAGGCGTGACATCACCCCCAGTGATCCCACCGACCAGGCATGACATCACAGCCTGGAGCCATGTGGCGCAGCGGCGGGGTGGTGAGGCAGGCGCTGGCTGCTG